ATACTGTACCTAATAAACTGTCCACTTAATATATTTTAAAATAACATTATTATTTAAATCAAATCACTAGATATGGAGTGAGAATTCGTTTTGGTACAGATTCATGCCGATTTTGTTTTCAGCTATTCTGGAAGAGACTGATGATGTTATCCTGCTCCTAAGCCTCTATCAAGCACAGCCACACGCATCATAAGACTAATGGTAGCCATGGCAACAGGCCTTCCACACATCAAAACGAATTCCGAGGCAAAGGCGACCACTTGATCTGGCAACTTGATTCGTTTTTCCTGAATTTCATCCTCTTTTTTTTCTTTTTTCTTTATTCGATGTGCATTAAACCGCAGTTGATGCTGATAATTCCGCGGCACCGTGTTTAAGACGTGTGGGACGCACTGTGACGTCTACACCTAAGCTGACGCGGGAGGCATACCTAATGCATATTCGTGATGGATAAAAATAATCATGGCAGACTTTCCAAGTTCTGCAGGCCTAAAAATAGCCGCGGAAGGGTTCCCCTAAACAAGACTGGTGCAAGTTGCTTCAACAGATTTGATGTAATGGCTATTTTGCAACCTTGGTGTGAATGAGCCTCTGGTTTAAGCATGGCTAATTGTTTTAAAGCAACCTAGCTGGGCCCTGTACTCTGCATTCTGCTCCATGACATGTTTATCAAAGCATTGTGATCATCATCACAGGCTGACATGTTCTGAACACTGTGAACATAACCTGTTTTCTTTTTGTTTCCAACCCCCTAAAATGTCAACTGTTCAAAAACCGCAAACACCTTTTAACCATCCAATACAAAGGCTATGGCAGCTAAATTTTCTCCAACGGGCACGTATCCAATATTGAACATCCTGTAGTTTTTATAATAAACAGACATACTGCAATTTTTGCCATCATTTCTCCACTGTGCATTTTTCTATGCAAAACATTTTCCGCTCTACCTGTCCTATGCATGTGTAATAAATCTTGAACCTGTGCAAAAAAGGCATCCATGCTCCAGTTAACTTGAAATTAATCAGACTCCCTCCCCATCAGTGTTGCACGAATAGTGTTTTGGGGTTTCTATGTGCTTTTCAAAGAAAGCAGCTCTCTGTAAAGTGATGCAGAAATGAAAACAAACACATAAACGTTCTTTGGCTCCACAGAAACACTAACTCTTCCGTAGTACTAAAACAAACAGAATTCAGTGGTAATTCACTTCAAACAACAGGTAAAACAAACCAGCTTCTGCTTTCTGACCACTCTTCTCCTAATAGTTCCCCTTCTCAGTCAAACTGGCCCGTTTAGAGTCTTTCACGCAGTTTCACGAGAACTAGCTGGCAATCATTACTGGAAAGTATCAGGCATAGGACAGGAAGCGATTAACGCTCATTATCCAGCCCTCTGCCTGTGATGTGCCTCTCATATGCATATAGCGCACATAGATATTGATGAGTAACAACAGATGAGCGATAAGGTAAACATTAGGAACACTTTGGTGCAAAGTATTATTTGAATTGCAGTCCCAGAATATTAATTTTTGCACTGCCCTGAGTTCAGACGTTGTGGTCAAGTAAAAACCATAAAGCCATATCGTAATTTTCGTCTCTCATGCTGTAAAACGAGATAATTTTTTTCGTGTAGAAAGGTACCTTATTAGTATTTCCAGTGGACAACTGCACCGGATGTGTTTCCTAAATGTTAACTAGAAATCATCAGTCAAAGAGAATCTTTCCAGTTGTATTAGATTAGATTCAGCCTCGATAGCAATTGTACTGTGTGGTGCAAAAATTAGAAGGTGATCTTATATTTGCAAGAACGAAGAAATTAATATCTCAAATCAAATTGATGATTGTCAAAAAATAACTTAATTTATTTCCTGCGTTAATGTTTTCTTGGACAACTAATGCATCTCCGTTCCCCGTTACCTTGCGGGCTTTTAGCTGGCCGAGGGTGGGGGTATACCTTATTATGGGGGTGGCTACCCTGCCCCCCTCCCGGATCGCGGCTCTGCTGCCGCTCTCTCTGTCCGTCCTCTTGCACTCCAACACGTACATGAAAACCACTGGGGCCAGGGGACGTCTTTGGAGATGCTATCGGGACTTTTCCATTACCCCTCACCTTGGCTGCCTTTGCTCCAGCGCTGCTGCGACAGTGAAATCAGCCCCGCCCCCTGGGGAGGAGGCGCCCGGCGTATCGAGCGTCTGCGGGGGCATCGCCCCTCTACCCCCAATGTCACGCTGTTCCTGAAGCTCCGCGGGCTTCCCCGGAATCCCCAGTATGATGACTCCCAGGGTTTGACCGCCTAATGTACCAAAAAAGATCCCGCACTTGCGCGACAGCGATGGATCGGCTGTTCGTATCGGCGCTAATGGCAAAAATAAAAGCCTAACGGACTCGTGATAAACGGATGGAGGAGATTGCGGGACGTGCAAAGCCCTCACTACCTGGAAGCCCAGCCAGCCGCTTCGCATTGGCAAAAAAAAAACTGCGGACTTAGTGCGTTTTAAAACCTACAAGTCATTCAACACAAATCTGTTTGATCCTTGAAATTAAATAACAAGGAATTGTCTCCAAGCAACAAAGTGGTTGCCTAGTGATAGTTCACTTTGGTACCTGTTCCACATCTTAGTGAATGAGGATAGATAATGTTTTGCTCATGAACGGAAATATAAATAAGCCTATATAAAGAGAAAAAACACACTTAACATCACACTGCATAACTATTAATACAGATATATGTCCAGTCATGTTTGAATTTTTTATCTGTTGAATTATGATGCAATACAGTAAGCTTGGGTTAGCTTGTTCATCAATTCCGTTGATGTCCCAGCTGATAAAGCAGGGGTGTCCGTTTACTGATTAGCCAGCTAGCCATATTGACCTTGTAGACGACAATGTGTCCTTTGAAGGTGCAGCCCAGGACATTGGTGCTCCCCTATTGAATCTGCCCGCTGCTTAGCATCGTACGTGGGTTGGATTGCTGAGAAAATGCCTGCGATACGCATCACCTTTGTGGTGCTTTTCAGTTCCACTAAATGGTTCAGGTTAATTTTCTGACATTCTATGTAAGAATGATACAATACAATAAAAGGGGAGTTTGTTTACACAGGTTTCCAGTCCGAACAAGTGGTCCAGTTATTTGAATGCATTTATGTTAATTTAACAGATGACTATCCATTCGTTTCCAGAAATTGCTTGTGCAATTCAGGGTCACAGGGGGTCCAGAAACCTATACTAGAAGCTACTGGTGCAAGGCAGGGAACAACCAAGGACGGTATGCCAGCCAATCTCAGAGTGCACACACACACACACACACACACACATAATTCATTAACATCAATCAACTTCAGCATGTTTTTGGACTGTGGGGGGAAACTGAAGTACCTGAAAGAAACCCCACGGTGACACGGGGAGAACATGCAAACTCCACACACATGGAACCCCAGTGGAGATTCAAACCAAGGTCCCAGAGGTGTGAAGTGACAGTGCAAACCACTGCATCACTGTGCCATACAATTTAACTGACGTTTTTGTCCAAAACCACTTATAATGATGCTAATGCATCAATTGCTTGCATCTGATATGGGGCCAATGTAGGCAGAAGTGCAGCTAGCTTGAGCTTCCAGTGAGGAATCCGTAATAAATGCATGTTGGCACTGGAGAAAGAGCTACACAAAACATAAGAGCCTAAGAGGATGAATAATGGCTCTTCCCATCCTGTTTATTATCTGCCACTTGTACCATTCTAGTTTGACATGCACTCCTACTCATAATGCTGCTATAACATTGTAAACAGTGTAGCCTAGTGGTGATACCAAAAACTGCCTTGCTGAAGTGAATAGGCTGCTCCACTAAACAGCGAATCTTGTGACTGTAACTAAATACACGGAGCACACGGAAGGGGTCATGAGTTTCAGTCGCGGAGTGGGCTGAGTATTAGAAGCACTCATATGCCAGAGATATTTAAGTGTTTGGCAGTGTGCTGTGATTTCTGAGGTTCCGGAACCTCAGAAACAGCCACCCCTCCTTGGATAAATTGGCTACTGAGTGTATAAAATATTAACTGACAGCTGAAACAGGCCCTAACTAATAGATGGTTTTCTTAAGGTGGACCACATACAATAATAATAATTGCAACCAAAGATTGACTCCACCAGGCACAGAGTAACATTCAAGGTGACCCCCAAGACCCCCTTATTTAACAGGACAGCTACAGAACACAGTAACAGAGAGCAACCTCAAGTGACCACAAGGTGGAAGCAGTGATTCGTAAAAGCCCTGCTATTTTGGACAGTGGCGATTCTAGACCATTTCAGCTGTGGGGGTGGGGGGTGGGTATATTGGGGCCAGTTGTTCTGTTAGGGGGGATCCATTTGCCCTTAAGAAGCAAAGACAATTTTGAAAACTGATCAGTTATGCAATGCTGTGCAGTTACATTTTTTTACAAATGTGTAACTCATTCTGATTTGTTGTTTAGACTGTCTTGCTTCCACAAGCTTGATTATTTTGGTTCTGTCATTAGCTTCACTTTGCATGATGTCACAAGGCCACTGCCCCCCAAGAACCGCCCGTGATTCTAGATCAGGGGTCACCAACCTTTCTGAAACCGAGAGCTACTTCACAGACACTGAGCCATACGAAGGGCTACCCGTTTGAAACACCCTCCTAAAATTATCTAAACTTCATGTATAATAAACATGTTATAAATGCTTTTTTTTAGATATTGTCATTTTCAAGTCTATATAAATGCAAATGTGCTTAAAGAAGAATAGCAACAGGATAAAATTTAATTTTAGACGCTGCTCCCTGGTGAGTTGTGTTATTTTTAGAACAGATCCGCGGGCGACTCGTGGTCATAGGGGGCATCCTGGTGCCCGCGGGCACCATGCTGGTGACGCCTGCTATGGAGTATTGATTTCATATTTACATATTACTTTTATTTGGCAATCACTTTTGTCCAGAAGTAACATAGTAGTATGTTTCATCACTGATTTTAAATATGGACTGATGTGTAATTTAGAATGACATTTTTAATTATAATGAAGAGCATTTTAACAATTTAAAGAGGTAAAATTGGAAACATGAAGCTAGCTATTTGCTTTTCAATATATGGTTGATTTAAATTTGTTAAGATTCAAATCTAGTATTGGACACAGTATAGGCTATTAACGCCACCCCCGAATGACTATAGTGTGTTGCCTAATAAACACTGTAATCAGTGAATGCTCCTTACCTCTGCCTGTAATAAACAGCGCTAAAGCTGTATTAGATAGGGGATTGGTTCCCCTTGGACAGGATGCCAGTCCATCATAGGCCAAATATGCGCACAAACAGTGACACTGCGGGCAATTCAAAGGCACCTGCTCACCAGCTCACTAATACACTAAAACAGGAAAAAAAGATGCCATTGTAATTTTTTATAAACTTCATTTACACATTATTGTTGCTGTGAGAACTACCCTCTCATTAACTCACCAAACAATTTTTAAATAACGATAAAGTCACTTTATCTGTAGAAAACACAAAAACGGAACAGGTCCCTAGTCAGCTGGCCAGCATACTCCATCTCCGTGCGTGACGCGTGAAATGGGCAGTGTCTGTGATGCGAGGTCACATGACAGGTCTTCAGCTGGCCGGCTCTGGGGATTGGTTCGTGTCGGCAAGGGTGCTCATGCGTTCCCGGCCATGCTGCAGGGTGTGCTGCGTCGGCCCCAGGCGCAATATTTTCCCGCTGCCCAGGCATTCGTCCCCTCTGTAGAGCACTGCAAACTGACCCAAGCAAGATAGGTGTAAATGTGAGGTTTGACCAACAGGGGGAGCCATAACAATACAAACCACTGAGAGAATGAGAGAGATACTGTAGGAGTACAGACAGGCGGGCGCATGTAACAGAAAGCCGAACTAACAGGTGGCTCAGCATTCAGCCCCAGGAAGCCTCATCCAATGAGCAAAGTAGCCAAATGGGGGGCCTATCAGAACCTCCGCCTCTTCATCTCTTCCAGTGCTGAGATTTCATTTGACCACAGGGGGGCACTCTCTGCACTAACAAAGCCTACCCTAATATTCCCCATGCTGGGAGGTCAGCATGACACAGGGTCTAACTGGATAGAGATGTCTGGGAATATACTGGAACCATTAAGGGAAAATTATGTAATCCATACATTTTCCATATGCATTAATCCAGTCCAGTCATAGTTGAGTTAAGATATGTGTCATTTTTTAAAAGTCATTAATATTAAATATTTAAAAATTAATGATATTTTTCATGTTATACATCATGCCTGAATAGGTGGCATTCCAAAATGGTATTATGCATTTCTGCGGGGAAAACTGAACTCACCTGCCCCAGAGTTAATGCCCTGATAGGCTGAGCGATCGTGATCCAAACAGATCCATCCTGATTCAGGACTACAGTGCACGGTGCTGGACAAATAAAAAAGCACCAGTCATGTCACTGGAACAATCTGCTGGGAGCACGCCCAGGTGCGCCCCCTTCGCGGGGAGCCGGACTCACTGAGAGGCATCTGGTGCTGGAAGCGGAACATGCAGTCCATCATTTTGGTGTGGACCAGTTTCGCCGGCGGCTCCTCAGCGATCCAGTGGAACCGGGCGGTTCTTAGTGTGTCCCGGTACAGCGCTGGGTGATTGGTGCCTGGAGCCTGACAGAAACATTCAAATCAGTCAGGAATCTGTCCATGGAGAACAGCTGTATGTCTTACATGTTACTATGGAAACTCCTCCCTAATATGACTGACATCATCCCATAACAGGAAGTGACACACAGACCAAAGACCCATCTGAAAAAACACCCGTCTGTACTGATGTCACTCAGACCACAAACAGCCATAAAACGCTCCTCCATATGCAACATGATGCCCTATTACTGTATATCATTGTGTATTATTTATTGTTACAATTATGTCTAACTTTTGTTACTGTCTAGATATGTATTGTGCTACTGTAGACCGGCAATATCTTTCAGGATTAATAAAGTATCAATCTATCAATCAAGTCTATCTATTCAGTCTGTCTGTCTGACTGACTGAAACGCATTAGCAAAGCGACATTACCACAAACACTTCTCGTGTGGAGACGTCCTTGTCCACCACAAACCAGGCATCTTTCTGTCCTCCAATCCTTGCCCTCTGACCCAGCGTGAGGGTAAACCAGCCTGTGGAAGACAAACAGCATTGTGCTGTAAAATGGAAGTGTTGCGTATTTCCGATCTTCACTATCGACTTTTCCCTGACCTCTGTGCTCCCCCATGATTTTCCCATCATCGATTGACACGAAATTCCCAGGCTGGGGCTCTAAATACTAAGAAAATGACAGAATGTTAATGTATATTCTTCATATTAGTTTATAAAATTAGTCAGCAGGTCTACACATCTTTGGAGAGTGCAAAACTGATTAAAAAATATGGCTGAATTTATTGTACATGACTTTGGGAATGTGCTGTACCTCTAAAATGAAATCATCAAAGTTCCTTTCTCCAATAAAGCAAATTCCCATGCTCTAGAAAGTAGAAAACAACCATCGTGAGGTATATTCACTTTAATCACACCATCATGATTTCACAGAATAAAATTTTCCAGGTCACAATGTTTTTCATTACTTATACGAAGCAGTCCGCAAATGGCACTAAACTATTTCTAAAGCTGACAATATTGTAGCGAAGGAAACAGCTGGTGACACCACCTCCTTCTTCTTTAGGAGGTGATGGAAGCCTGCTTCCGCTGCCAACTTCCTCACAAAGTCCTTAGTGAGCCCCGCCAGCGGGAAGAGTGTGTGCCGCAGTGCATTCTGGGAGATCTGGCTGAGGAAAAACGTCTGGTCCTTAAAGATGTCTGCTCCCTGATACAGCCTTACCGCTTTAAGAAAGACAGCAGGCAATTAATGAGAAAAGTCAATACACAAATATGACAGGTGCATTATATTGCTGTACATTAGATGTCAATCAGTCTTGAATAAATCAATTAAGTTATTTTCTAAGGTATAGGACTAAGAACCCTAATAAAATGCAGCCCTAAAAGAGCCAAAGTGAAAGTGTGGTGCCAAGCAAATAAAGGAAAGGATTGTGTTAAATAAGTGGAAATTAACAGGAAATCTGCTTACGGTTTCTGATCTCAAACCGATCCCTGAATAGAGTTTGGCGACGGGGGGTGTGTCTCTGCTGAAAGACCTCGTCATCCTCCTGGGACGTCCTGGCGTAGTGGCCTGTCGCCATGGCATCAGCGCCTGTGTGCGCCAATGGGAGTCACATTCATTACACCTGAATTTATCAGCTTCCAAAGAGAAAGTAAGGATGGGTTGTTATAACAACACAGCTGAAGAGCACTATGTCAGCAGGATGTCAGCTCCACCTACCCAAGGTGTCGATGGCGTATTGGAAGAAGTGACTGAACTTAATGTGCTTGTTGCATAATATGTCAGGATTGGGTGTCCTGCCATTCTGGTACTCTTTTAAAAGGTTACTGCAAACAGAGATCAAATAAAAAGCTTATTGTATTAATATATCAAACTAGTGCTAGCCAATTGAAGTTCTGTTCATTAAAGGGTTCAAAGCATGCCCCAAAGCAAACCATGAGCGCCATCTAGTGGGGTCAGAAAATACAGCAAATGGTTCATGGAGCATTTGGCCATCACTATATGAAACTACAAACATGGGATACTGAGATGATTATTATATCAACAGTGTTTACAACCAAAACACATTTTAACACCCAAAGCAAACACCTGCCATTGTAATTAAACAATCTTTTGACATTATTATTGTCTGTACAGCTGTAAAAAAAAAAAGTACCGGCTAACATGTCACTGTGCTTCACTGAGCCTTTTTACGGAACTGGCATATAGTCGTGGATGTAACTTGTGGCTTTGAACAAAAGTGCCAAGCATGTATTAAGACTCATCACCTGAAGACTTCATTCCAGTATTCCTTGACAAAAGACACCTGATGAAAAGGCATGTCTAGTATCTGACACACTTTGTAGGCATCTTCACAGTCCTGCTCGGAGGTACAGACGCCTCTCTCCTCAAGGTAATCCCAGTTTTTCATGAACACTCCTGTTACATGGTACCCTAAAAACAATGTCAGTCATCCCCAATGTCAGTGTTGTTAGATCACGCTGTATTAATTTCAGTACTACTAAAAGCATGCATATTTCAGTTGTTTCCTTGACGTCAACAAAAATCGCCTGTAAATAACAAACCGGTCGTAGGCAATGTCCGGTGTTATGAGACCAAACTACCTGTGCGTTTGAGCAGAAGAGCCGCTACGGCGCTGTCCACGCCTCCTGACAAGGCACACACGACGTGTCTCACAACGCCCATGGTTGTCACAGCCACTCGAAAAGCACGAATCTAGCTACACGTGCTCATGTCAACAGTGAATCAATGCTGCACGACACCCTTGATGGAGGCCGCCATCTTTAAGCGTCCGCGTGACTATACCGTCCCTCCCGCAACACGGCGCGCGCTGCAGGACCGTCCTGCGTTCCGCTGCACTTTCACTTACTTGTTAAGTGATTCGCCAGGTGTAGAACTTCTATTTATGAAAAGTATATTTGTAAAAATATGGAAAAAGCCTCTAATGGCCTTTATCAATGCCTGATACGCCACGAGTTGCTTTTTTGTTGCATTTTTTTTGTATTTGGTGCATTTATTTTCTTTTTGTAGAAGGGTTTATCGAGCAAGAAACGAATAATTCTTATACAGACAAGAACTGAGGAATAAGCTTCAAATTCAAAAAGGGAAGTTTCCCCCCCCCCCCCCAAATACAGCATGTATATAAACAGGGGGCTGGTAACAGTAGAAAACAGATTAGTACTGCATTAAAAACTCTGAAGAGGACACGTGGCCATATTGTCGTTCGGCTGTAAGTTAACACCAGTGGTTCCTTCGAGCCAGAACAAACTGCCTGTTGTCTGTTTATACATCATTCAGAAGAAACTGAAATATGTATGACTTCCTTACAGTGTGACTGAGCTTACAGCAAGATTAACTGTGCTACAAATGTCAATGTGACACTTTCAAGCCAAACTTCTGATCAGGAGTACTATTAAAAACTGATGCTCGTCTTGCACAACTCAGAGCAAGTCGAAATGTATATTTGGACAAAAGTACCTTGTTAGAACAAATTATGAATTTTAGAATTTACAATGTTGGAGATGCATTACAGATTGTATCCTCTTTAATACAGTAAGACTGTATATTGTCTCCATGAGATAAATAAGCACATACAACCATTTCCTTGTATCTGACTGTCACTATCCCAGGAACCACGCTGGGATATCAGTCATAGATACCCTCTGAAATTACCACCAGTATCACCCCCCCAGAGGGAACAGAACCATTAAGGTGAAGTTCCCAGCTTCTGACCCCCCATTTCCCATAAGTTCAGAATAAAATCAGTCACATTGTTTTAAATGTAATCAGCATTTATTTGTAAATAATTTTCAAAGAAAAAGAAAAATCTAGGCAATTTATACAGTACAGGTAAGCAACATCAGACATGAAATAAGGGATGTAAACACATTCCACTCATCATTCAAAATGACACGTAATTCTTAATGACACTACTACTACTACTACATGTTCTCACAAGAATCTTCTAGCCTTCAGAATTTCTTTAACACATTGTTGTTACAGTATCTATCATTTATTTTAATATTGAAACAGAAATATTACAGACACATCCATTAAAATGACAGGTTGATTAGAGGAGCGCTGTCCACCACGTTCTCCTTCCTGTCCACTGGACTCCAGGTTATTAACGGAGAACTCAGATCGATTAACTGGAGGAAGAAAACCCATTTATACAAACTGGAGTACCGAGCACGATTTTTTACATTTAAAATGAATAAAAAAGCAATACTCTTACCTGTCCACTAGGGGGCTTAATTGGTGCGGTCTTAATAAGGTCTGGGGTGTTCGAGAGGTCAATAAGAAGCCGTTCTTCCATTTTCAACCCAGGGGCTGGAGCATCCACAAGCAAAACCTGGGAAAGCAGTCGCACCACCTGATTAACCGAGAACATACTACCAACAGGGAATCATCACGCCTGCTTAGCCCACCAGGAGCAGAACACCATCATTCTCTAGCTGGGCCGAGGCATTAGCTCATCATTCTCTAGCTGGGCCGAGGCATTACCTCTTCATTCTCTAGCTGGGCCGAGGCATTAGCTCTCCATTCTCTAGCTGGGCCGAGGCATTAGCTCTCCATTCTCTAGCTGGGCCGAGGCATTAGCTCTCCATTCTCTAGCTGGGCCGAGGCATTAGCTCATCATTCTCTAGCTGGGCTGAGGCATTACCTCATTGTTTTCAGGTGTCTTTTCAGCATCATCCTGAGGAACCTCTCTGCTCCCCTCTGGGCTGGCGGGGTCTGTGTCCCGTGGACTGAGCTCGGTGGGACACACTGCCGTCGGCTCAGAAATGCATTCTGGGGAGTTTGGGGCAGGCACAGCACCCGGGGTCTCGTCGTCCAGGGAGAAGGACAGGGAATAGGGCTGCAGCTGGGCCGAGTCAAAGGTTTCTTTGCTGGGAAGACACTCTGGCTCCTGGGAATTCATCCTCTGGATCATCTGTGGCACTGGGCTAGTGTCAGAAAAGGATTGTGGGAAACGGATTCAAATGTCTGTTCTCAGGGTCATCACATAAGTTAAATTTAAAAATGATGAAATATCAACAAGCAGCACAAACACCAATATTTGAGAGGGTTAGGGGTGGAAAATCCCCACAAATGTGAAATTTCATGAATAATACTTGGACACCCCTAATCCTAACCCAGAACAGTCTGCTAGCCTGAAGGATAAAATAAAATGATTTATTATTATTATTTATTACCAATTTCTAGACAAAACAGTAGGCTACTAGTGTACACATTGCATGCCATTGCTGCCTCATCATTGACATGTCACATCCTCTTTGTTTACCAGCATCTAGCAGGACTTTAAGAGGTCTGGGAGACTAGAGATGGGCAATTTAACAATATTAGATCGTGGATGATTAAAATGTCTCCACAATTTGCCTTTATGGAGAGATCATTAGCATCGTGCTACAGTGCACATTCTAACAGTTGCAGTTCTATGGCTCATACACGCATCTAAAGCTGTTTTGTCAGCCAAAGTTTTGACACACCAATGATAGTAATAGCAAACAGTGGACAGTGCCTTGGATTTTTTCCTCTCTGCCATTTATGTTCTCGTCCCAACATGCAATGCGCAACATGCAACACGTTCACTAATTGCCAACATAATGGCATGGATATTGTGGAGGAGTTGGCCCCTAAAAAGAATTTCACATCAGTCTGTGGCCTTGTCTCACCTCTCCCGGCTGACCTTCTCCGCAGAGGTGGGAAGCTTCTCTCTCTCGCTGGCCTGGCTGAGCCTGCCAGGCCGCGTTAGGCTTTTGGGGGTCAGCATAGGGATGCCTGAGACCCGCCGATTCACTGGAGTGGGCAGCGCAGAGACTCGCCTCAACTTGGACTGCGCAGACCCAAGTCCTCCAGGAGTCTGGGGCACTTCCGGAGCACCTGGATTCTGATTAAGGCTGAAGAAGATTACACTGTTAGCACCTAAGGATAGCACAGCTAGGGTTACAAAATTCCGGGAATTTTCCACTAACTCCCATATATTTCCGTTTCCCATGGAAAGTTTCCAATGAAGTATTTCCAAAATTCCTCAGCTTAATTTCCCATGTAATGGAAAGTTTTTATTAATTTTGTGCCCCTTTGCAACTATAAGCACAGAGTTAGAGCCCCTTTGCACTCTGGCAGAACCTTATACAGCAGGGCACTTCATCAGATCAATTTCATTCCCTTACCTTTCAAGACTGTAAGCCGACATCAACTTTCTTGGCTTCACAGTTTTTGATGGATCAGGGCATGGAACTGTTGTAGATTAAGAAAGACTTTTAAAAAACGTTTTAGACTATTTTGTGCTTAGCTTTGTGATTTAAATTTAACGTTAGTTTGTGGACGGCATCATGTGACATGATTCAAAATACACATGAACACTGATCTGACGAATTATGGAGTCAAGTATTGGGACTGCTGGCCAATGAGACACAATCCTCACCTTCTGACCTCTGTGGTCCCTTGAACTGACCCATTTGATTTGGGGGAACGATGCATTTAGGTTTGGGGTTGACTTTGACAGCACTGCCGGTCCGGGTGGAGGCACCGGGGATGCTGGGAAGCGAGGCGGACCTCTCTGAAATGCGCCTGGACATCGGGTGCTGAGGGCTGTTCTCCAGCTTCTTCACAGGGGTAGCCTTGGCCTGCCGGGGCTGCAGCTCCGCAGGCTTCTTGGCCACAACGGGTGAAGTATGGCTCTTGCCCAGCACCCCAGAGCTCAGCAGTCTGCTGACACCTGAAGGCATTCGGGCCCTTGTGCCATTCACACTCAAGTTCAAGGATGTGTTGAGCTTGCCTGTGGAAATCAAGGGGAACATTTCACCCTTGAGGCTATTCGGACTTGTGACAAATGAACCCCCCCCCCTCCCACAGCAGTATTCACCAGAGATGGATTACCTTTGCCCATGGGAGAGGCAGACAGACTGGAATTCAAACTGGAGACTGAGGAGGAGGATGACGAGGTCTTCCTGCCATCTTCAATCTTGCCGTACAGCACTTGAGCCTTCATAGGAACTTGTCTCTGGTGTCCAGACTTAATAGGGAAGTAGCATTTACAAACAAAAAGTCTTAATTTCCATGCTAGCTATTCAATGCTCTTCAAAAATAAGACCTCCCAATGCTTACATAACACAAAAACAATTCTTTATCTAGTGCTTACGAAATGCTTATCTACAGACTAATAAGAGATTAAGCAGAAAAGCTTTTAGAAACCGGCCATAGAGTCTCAAACCATAGCTACAAAACCTGCCTACTTTAGTGTATTAGGCAGCAAGCTCTTTGTATGACTCCTCTGTACCTTCCTCAGAGCTGGAAAGGTCCTTTTTGCCGGCTGGCTGATGTTGATAGAGCAGTCGCTGACATCAGAGGCTACGCTGGCAGAGTCAGACAGCAGGTCCTCAGAGGAGCTGGCCGCGCTAAGGGGTCGGCTACGGGGGCTCCGCTGCAGTCCCAGCTTAGCCTAGAAAAGCATCTCAGCACTAAGCTTTTCACAGATGCCTCGGTTTTCACATTACAAAGTGTCAAACCTGGAACAGAATCCTACCATCCTCTCTGTTTTCCTCTTGTGGTTAAGGAAGTGTTTCTCAATCCGGTCCTCAGGGACCCCCACGTCCGTGGATCGTCTGGGGGTCCCCAAGGACTGGTTTGAGAAAGACTGGGTTAGGCCATGCACAGTAAAATGACTCATGTCTAAGGACACAAGATCAGAGGGAATCAATACACTGTATAATTTTGTAGAGTAATGTCACCTCAACTACCTTCCATTTACTTTTAAAATTGCTAACGTGGGGATCTTGCAGGGCTGCAACCTCATAGACTAGAGT